AGAAGGGTGTGCCAGCATGGACGCGGTAGGCGCATGCGATCGCTGGCACTTTGGTCTTCGGTGGAGCCCCCTGTGGGGCCACGAAGCGTGAGAGGGGTGTGCCAACATGGACGCGGTAGGCGCATGCGAGCGCTGGCACGTTGGTCTTCGGTGGAGCTCCCTGGGGGGCCACGAAGCGTGAGAAGGGTGTGCCAACATGGACGCGGTAGGCGCATGCGAGCGCTGGCATTTTGGCCGTCGGTGGAGCTCCCTGTGGGGCCACGAAGCGTGAGATGGGTGTGCCAACATGGACGTGGTAGGCGCATGCGAGCGCTGGCACGTTGGTCTTCGGTGGAGCTCACTGTGGGGCCACGAAGAGTGTGAGGGGTGTGCCAACATGGACGCGGTAGGCGCATGCGAACGCTGGCACGTTGGTCTTCGGTGGAGCCCCCTTTGGGGCCACGGAGCGTGAGAGGGGTGTGCCAACATGGACGCGGTAAGCACATGCGAGCGCTGGCACTTTGGTCTTCGGTGGAGCTCCCTGTGGGGCCACGAAGCGTGAGAGGGGTGTGCCAACATGGAGCTGGTAGGCGCATGCAGCGCTTGGCACTTGGTCTTCGTTGAGCTCCCTGTGGGGCCTACGAGCGTGAGAGGGGTGTGCCACATGGACGCGTAGGCGCAATGCGAACGCCAGCAACTTTGGTCTTCGGTGGAGCTCCTGTGGGGGCCACGAGCGTGAGAGGGATGTGCCACATGGACGCGGTATGCGCATGCCGAGCGCTGCACCTTGGTCGTCGGTGGAGCTCCCTGTGGGGGCCACGAAGGCTGTGAAGGTGGCCACATGGACGCGGTAAGGCGCATGCGGCGCTAGCACTTTGGTCTTGTGAGCCCCCTGGGTGGCACGAAGCGTGTTGAGGGGTGTGGCCAACATACGCGGAGTCGCATCAGAGCGCTGGAACTTTGGTCGTTTTCGGTGGACGCTCCCTGTGGGGCCACGAAGCGTGAGAGGGGTGTGCCACTATGGACGCGGTATGCGCATGCGAGCGCGGCCACTGTGGTCCCGGTGGAGCTCCCTGTGGGGCCACGAAATCGTGAGAGGGGTGTGCCACCTGGACGCGGTAGGCGCATGCGAGCGCTGGCACTGTGGTCTTCGGTGGAGCTCCCTGTGGGGCCACGAAGCGTGAGAGGGGTGTGCCAACATGGACGCGGTAGGCGCATACGAGCGCTGGCACTTTGGTCTTCGGTGGAGCTCCCTGTGGGGCCTCGAAGCGTGAGAGAGGTGTGCCAACATGGGCGCGGTAGGCGCATGCGAGCGCTGGCACTTTGGTCTTCGGTGGAGCTCCCTGTGGGGCCACGAAGGCCACAGAGCCCCTGCCAACTGAATGGGCGCGTCGGCGCATGCGAGCGCTGGCACTTTGGTCTTCGGTGGAGCTCCCTGTGGGGCCACGAAGCGTGAGAGGGGTGTGCCAACATGGACGCGGTGGGCGCATGCGAGCGCGGGCACGTTGGTCTTCGGTGGAGCTCCCTGTGAAACCACGAAGCGTGAGAGGGGGAGCCAACATGGACGCGGTAGGCGCATGCGAGCGCTGGCACTTTGGTCTTCGGTGGAGCTCCCTATGGGGCCACGAAGCGTGAGAGGGGTGTGCCAACATGGACGCGGTAGGCGCATGCGAGCGCTGGCCCTTTGGTCTTCGGTGGAGCTCCCTGTGGGGCCCTGAAGCGTGTGAGGGGTGTGCCAACATGGACGCGGTAGGCGCATGCGAGCGCTGGCACGTTGGTCTTCGGTGGAGCTCCCTGTGGGGCCACGAAGCGTGAGAGGGGTGTGCCCACATGGACGCGGTAGGCGCATGCGAGCGCTGGCACTTTTGTCTTCGGTGGAGCCCCCTGTGGGGCCACGAAGCGTGAGAGGGGTGTGCCCACATGGACGCGATAGGCGCATGCGAGCGCTGGCCATTTGGTCTTCGGTGGAGCTCCCTGTGGGGCCACGAAGCTTGAGAGGGTGTGCCAACATGGACGCGGTAGGCGCATGCGAGCGCTGGCATCTGCGGCTTCGGTGGAGCTCCCTGTGGGGCCACGAAGCGTGAGAGGGGTGCCAACATGGAAGCAGTAGGCGCATGCGAGCGCTGGCACTTTGGTCTTCGGTGGAGCTCCCTGTGGGGCCACGAAGCGTGAGAGGGGTGTGCCCACATGGACGCGGTAGGCGCATGCGAGCGCTGGCACTTTGGTCTTCGGTGGAGCTCCCTGTTGAGAGGAGCGGTGGACGCGGTAGGCGCATGCGAGCGCTGGCCCTTTGGTCTTCGGTGGAGCTCCCTGTGGGGCCACGAACGTGAGAGGGGTGTGCAACAGGACGCGGTAGGCGCATGCGAGCGCTGGCACCTTTGGTCCTTCGGTGGAGCTCCCTGTGGGGCCACGGAAGCGTGGAGGGGTGTGCCAACATGGACGCGGTAGGCGCATGCGGCGCTGGCACGTTGGTCTTCGGTGGAGCTCCCTGTGGGGCCACGAAGCGTGAGAGGGGTGTGCCCACATGGACGCGGTAGGCGCATGCGAGCGCTGGCACTTTGGTCTTCGGTGGAGCGCCCTGTGGGGCCACGAAGCGTGAGAGGGGTGTGCCAACATGGACGCGGTAGGCGCATGCGAGCGCTGGCACTTTGGTCGTCGGTGGAGCTCCCTGTGGGGCCACGAAGCGTGAGAGGGGTGTGCCAACATGGACGCGGTAGGCGCATGCGAGCGCTGGCACTTTGGTCGTCGGTGGAGCTCCCTGTGGGGCCACGAAGCGTGAGAGGGGTGTGCCAACATGGACGCGGTAGGCGCATGCGAGCGCCCGGCACTTGGTCTTCGGTGGAGCTCCCTGTGGGGCCACGAAGCGTGAGAGGGGTGTGCCAACATGGACGCGGTAGGCGCATGCGAGCGCTGGCACTTTGGTCTTCGGTGGAGCTCCCTGTGGGGCCACGAAGCGTGAGAGGGGTGTGCCAACATGGACGCGGTAGGCGCATGCGAGCGCTGGCATTTTGGCCTGCGATGGAGCTCTCTATGGGGCCACGACGCGTGTGAGGGGTGTGGCAAAATAGGTGCGGTAGGCGCATGTGAGCGCTGGCACTTTGGCCTTCGGTGGAGCTCTCTATGGGGCCACGACGCATGTGAGGGGTGTGCCAACATGGGTGCGGTAGGCGCATGCGGGCGCTGGCACTTTGGTCTTCGGTGGAGCTCCCTGTGGGGCCACGAAGCGTGAGAGGGGTGTGCCAAAACTGGTGCGGTGGGCGCATGCGAGCGCTGGCGGTGGAGCTCCCTGTGGGGCCACGAAGCGGTTATGCGGTGGAGCACTCTTCGGTGGAGCTGTGGGGCCACGAAGCGTGTGAGGGGTGTGCCCACATGGACGCGGTAGGCGCATGCGAGCGCTGGCACTTTGGTCTTCGGTGGAGCTCCCAGTGGGGCCACGAAGCGTGAGAGGGGTGTGCCAACATGGACGCGGTGGGCGCATGCGAGCGCTGGCACTTTGTTCTTCGGTGGAGCTCCCTATGGGGCCACGAAGCGTGTGAGGGGTGCGCCGAAATTGGTGCTGTGGGCGCATGCGAGCGCTGGCACTTTGGTCTTCGGTGGAGCTCCCTGTGGGGCCACGACGCGTGTGAGGGGTGTGCCAAGATGAAGGGGCTGACGGGAGGAGGGAGGAGCAGGAGGAGAGGAGGAAGGGGAGGAGGAAGGAAGGACGGAATGAGGAAGGAACGCGGGGCCCTGTTTTTTCTTGGTCACAACGTGGACCCCGCACCACAATATAGTTGGGAACAACCGAATGTATCAAGCGAGACGCGCGTCGATTAGCGAAGCCGACTGGGAGCTGCAAGAGCACACTCGAATGCCAAGGTCGAGAGAACCCGTGGATATTTCCACAGTCGCCTTGTCTGGGGGGAGTCTCCGTCCATGCCCGCAAACTACTACTATGCCTATGTGCTGGCGTTGGAGGCGCACGTCCGACAAGAACATGTAGTTGGGGAAGCCAAAAGGTACAGATACCGCTACTCCCTGGACCTCTCGGGAGGGCGTTCTGCCCAGAACTTCGAGGCGAATCCAGCGGTGGCGACGAGGGCCTCCCAGGAGGCCCAAAAAGGGGAAAACGGGCGAGGGGGCAGAGGTATGGGTACCTTTTCCTTCTCTGGGTAATGCAACAAACTTATTGTACATCGTTTCCCGAGCCGTATGGCAAGAGAGCGCCCGCCGCGGAACTTCTGCTGTACGATCTTTGAGCGTGCGCGTCGGTCTGGCGGGGCCGACGACGCACACACCGTATGAACATGCTTGCGTGGTGCCGACTCTGGGGTCCGCCGAACCGTGTGGTGACCACACCGCGAGACGAGCCCGTGTGAAGGGGCCCACAAACACACAAATAAATACACACAAATAGCAGGATTCCCCATATTTCTGGGTTTTCGTCTCCCCCCCCACGGCCCATATTTTCTGATACTTTCTGGGGAATCGACGATTAATTGTGTCTGTGTGTTCCTTTCTCTCCTGAGTGGTGACCACACCGCGAGGCGAGCCCGTGGCAGCGAAGAAGAGGAACACACGGCGGCACAATCATCATTTCTCAGAGCTCCGCGCTGCTTTCCTGGATCGGCGCTGGGCCCACCTGGAGGCGCCTCCGGCGCCGCCTTGGGCGCGTTCCACGCGCAAGGGAGGGGGGTCCATCGCGGATCCAAGGAATCCGCGCAGACCTCAGAGAAATGATACGTAGCATTCGTTCTGTTCCTCTAGGGGGGAGGGAGCTGTCTGGAGCCCCCAGACGGTGTGGTGACCACGCCGCGCGGCGAGTCCGCGGGGATCCCTGGTCACGGCACGGTGGTTTTTTGACGCCGCCACCTCAGCGCGTGCACCGAAGCCCTCGCTTGCGGATGCAGTCGACCAGCTGCCGCGCGGTGAATACGGTGGCCCTCGCCACCAAGTGCTTCACGCAACGCCTAGAACGTCTGGCAGGTACGAACCAGCGCAGCATTTTCAAACGAGCGCAGCACGCTTCGCCTCAGACCCGCTCAGACCACGAGCGGCGGGCCCGCCTGGGGAGCATCCGGCACTGGGTCCCCGAAGCCGGCGCCGCTCACAAAGCGCTCAAGCATATCAAGTGCTCGCTCCGGCTGGTCTCCCGGGACCATGTGTCCTCCTCCGCGCACGACTACCTGAGAGAACTGGCCGACCTGACGGGCGTACCCGGCCACGTCGGGGAGCTGGCTGCCAGGGCCCTTGCTCGACCTGCGCCACACGGTCTTCTGGGCACGGCTGTACTCCTCCTGGCCACTCCACTCCAGCCCTCTGAGGAAATTCTCTGTGAGGGTCGGGCCCAAGATGATATCGTTCTGCCCACTATAGATCATGACCTTATAGTTCTCCATAATCGGCACGAGCTCAGCAAGGACGTCCCGCATCCAGTCGGGCTTGAGGTGCGCCTCCACGGTGTTGTTCTCTGGCGCGTATTTGCGACTCCCAACGTGGATCCTTGCTTTTACCGCATCTTGGTTAAGCCACTTGACGAAATCACCCCCCAAAGGAGTAGCATCTGGAGACAGCTCGAAATTAAAATAATTAGATCCCATGCCTGTCACATTCGCATAGTAGGTAGGGTATGGGTAGAAATCCCCATTCAACATCTCATCGAAGATCTCAAAGGCTCCAACCGTGTCACTGGTCTTCAGCGCTTCCTGGATGCGCGCCTCGTATGCCTGAAACTGCGCTTTCTCGACCTCGTCCACCATTCCATTGAACCAGAGCAGGTCGCCGAAGCCCTTGAACTGCACTGCAGGGTTCATCGCACCATCGCCGATGGCGATGCCCTTCAGGTTAATGCGCTCCTCTTGGAAAGCAACCTTATTCTTCTCGTGAATAGCGTACGCGCAGGACGGAACCCACTTGCCAGCGTACGACTCCCCCGTCACGTACAAATGGTTCTCGCGAAATTGGGGGAACAGCTGGAAAAACTGAGACAGCGCCTCCTGGAGATCCTCGCCCGCCTGCTCGTGCCTGGAGACGAAGCCCTCCTCTGTCTCGGTGAAGCTGAAGCCAGTGCCGACTGGATTGTCCAGGAACAGCAGGTGGTAGTGCTGATTCCAGTGCACAGCCCGTGGCTCGATCGTGCCACCTGGCGCAATGCCGAACGGGCCAATCTCGGTAAACATGCCGAAGAGGGAGGACGCCCCAGGACCGCCCTGGAGCCACAGCAGGAGCGGCGCGGACGAGTTGCCGTCGAGAGCGGTGGACAACCAAAAGAACGTGTTTTTCTTCTTCTCTTCATCGACCGTGATGTACCCGCTGTGCATCGCGTTCCCGGCCTTCCAGCCGAGGGGACCCAGGTCGACGGCGGTAGCACTCTGGCCGTCCTTGACGCGGTCCGGCAGGTAGCTCGTCACGAATACGGCCCCATCGTTCGGTGCAGCCTCCTCCTCAAAAGCCTCGAGCGCAGTCGTGCACAAAGCGAGCCACAGCAGCTTCATGAGCAGCCGATCGGAGTGTGGAATGTCCCCGATTGCGAGGTCCCTCCCGATCCCGTGCCACTTGGACACAGAGTGCTCGAGCAAAACGTGGCTTGAGCCAACATGGCGATGGGGGTCACCGCACGGTTTTTTGGGCTCAAGCACTTCTCCGAGGACGTCTCGGGTGGCTGGGGCTCCGAGGTCCCAGGACCGTGACGCATCGCGCGGTGAGGTCTCTTGGAGCTTTGAGGTCCCCGCGCGGCCCGTTACCACACGTCTACGACGACGTCGACGACGACGACGACAACGGCGTCGACGACGACCACGACGATGACGACGACGACGACGACGACGACGACGACGACAACGACGGGCGGTGAGGATGCAAGGGTCTCGGCCGTCGAAAGGGAGCGCTCCGAAGGGCGTCGCCCGCCCTGTCGGAGTACTCGGAAGAACTGGCCAGCGAAAACGGCTCCCCCTCCCCTCCTCCTCCTCCTCCTCATCCTCCTCCTCCTCCTCGTCCTCCTCCTCCTCCTTCTCCTCCTCCTCCTCCTCCTCATCCTCCTCCTCCTCCACCCCCTCCTCCTACTCCTTCTTCTTCTCCTCCTCCTCCTCCTCCTCCTCCTCATCCTTCTCCTCCTGCTCCTCCTCCTCTCCTCCTCCCTTTCCTCCTCCTCGTCCTCCTCGTCGTCCTCCTCCTCCTCGTCCTCCTCCTCCTCCTCCTCCTCCTCCTCCTCCCCCACCTCCTACTCCTTCTTCTCCTCCTCCCCCTCCTCCACCTCCAGCCGCCGCTCTGGCGCAAGGATGGCGAGGGGCGGCCAGCGGCGCGGCAGTGATGTGACCTGCCGCGGCGCCACGCGGATTTCGCGATGGCGCGGGCCGTGGGCCAGTGGGCGTTGCGGGCACTGGGCTTCAACCCCAACGTTCGCGACGGGCTCGAGGCTCCAGGAAATAGCCATGAGTTGCAGCAGCATGGACCTGGTCTTGCTCGCGGGGACGCGGGCCTCTTCGAGGCGTGCAGAGGAGGTCTTGTTTCGCAGGATTGGAAAAAGGATCGTACTGGAGGCCGCGGTGGGGTACGGGGACTATACTCACACGTCCACGGGGTGCGCGACCCTTCTGGGCACGAAGTTCGGGGAGAAACACGTTTGCCAGACATGGGCGAGCCCTCACGGGGCGGACGGGCGTGCATTGGCAGCTCGTATCAAGAAGGGTCCCCAGGACCTGGCTCCGATCGTGATGTACCTCCCGCCCCAAACTCGGTACGCCCACCTGGTCCCCAACTTCGGGAGCGGCCAAGAGGGGGGTGTCCAAGAGGGGGGGGGTGCAAATCATGACCGGCGGCATGTGCGCGGCCCAGCGGGGGGGCCAGGGACGTAATGAAATAAGAAGAGGCGCCATACAATCTGGGGAAATATCATGGCCCCCGCCATGATATCCACCCCCCCTGGTCATCACCCCCCTCTTTTCCGCCCCCGACAACTACAAAGCCGCGGTGAACACGGTAGCGGCATGGTACGAGCGCATTTTGCAGACATTGCCGTGCCGCTGCACACCATTGGTTTACGTTGACCTTAACGACGGGCCCAGTTGAGAGTACTGCAGTGGGACCTGGACGGGCTCGTCAACAACGTCGTGGGGGTGCTGGTGAGATGTTTCGTCCGGCTAACGAGCGCCAGCATATGTTTTCTGTAAACTCTCGGTGCCAGCAACTGGAACACACTCATTATGGGAATTCTGGGCACAGCGGAATGCAGGGTGCCCCTCATGACTGGGGCGCTCCGCGCACGGATCTGACATCGGCAACCCCATCCCTGCACGCCTCCTTGCAGCCCGCCTCCGCCGTCCGAAGGTCTTCGGACATGTCGGGGGGCTCGAGACAAAACCGGAAAATAATGGGTACGAAAACTGACAGCAGCTCTACACGCCGGGCACAGCAGTTGTATTGACCTGCTCTTCGTTCCCGACGGCATGATTGATATGGTGTTTCGTTTTTCTCCGCTTCACAGGTCTGGGGGCTGAGCTGCAGGCGTTTCGCGGCGCCCCGCCGAAGGATCACATCCCTATATACATGGAGTTGCATGGCATGCAGTCTGTGGTTGACTCGGAGTCTCCTTCGCTGCAACGTATGAGGTGGAATCAGGATGAGATTATGAGATGTTTGCGCAAAAAGGGGAGCGGCGAGTTGAGTTCTTGGAAGAGGTTGAGGGGCGACTGTACGAGAGTGAGGATACTTGGAGGCCGCTGTTGAATCACGGACGGCCAGATGAGTTGTTCAAACATCTTGACGATACGCTTGTCTGTACAGGTTAGCAGCTTTTCAGTCACCAAGTGTCCAACGATCCAATGTACAGGCAGGAGGCCTCTGAACGAGCCGGGCTTCTGCGAGAACGAGCTCGACTTCGCCGCTCACGACTCGGCATGAGTGAACCTTCTCTAGCACTTCGCGCGTGCGAATAACAACTAAGAGAGCTGAGCCAGCGACTTCGGCGACAGCGCCAGCAATTCCAGAGAGAGCGTCGTACGGCACTATTGGATGAAATTGACGAGGCTTGGCAATTTCGAAGGATGGCGGAGGACATGCGGCGTTCGCGCATTGCAGCACGGTGTAGTTACGGCCCGAAGCGTCGTGATGGTAGACTCCTTCGCGGTGGGCATTTCGCTGAACAGGAGCTGCTGGCACACTGGAGCCAGAAGGGGAGCGAGGGAGGGATGTCAGCTAAGAAGATTGACTTCGATGAGTAGATGGATTCTGCCCCAGCAGGACCCGCGCCTTACATCACCCCTGAGGATTGTGAGTTGGCCCAGGAAAACCAGTGGAGAATTACTAAATACTTTCGTTCTTCGAGCAAGAGACGAACGTGCCGCCTGGGACCCCGCCTGCCGAGATCTGGTTGATGTGTCTCGACCCCGCCGCGAACATTTCGAACCAGGGGATGGGCGTAGGCTACCAGCGCGAGGCTCCTGAGATGAAGCTGTTTTGGAAGATTCTCGAGGGAGGGTTGCGTTCTGTTCGGACCACGAATCGAACGCCGATGCGGTGGCACGCGAGTTCGGGGGCCCAACTCAAAAAAAAATGCGAAGCCAGGCCCATCGGGCCGACGTGCGGTGCATGCTTTGCCGACCTTGGGGGAAAACCTTCTACTCTGGCCTCCTTCGAGCTCCTCCCATGGCGATCGAGCACGGCTTCTGTCCGGGCAGGCGTAGGGAAGGGGCCAGACTAGTGGCTCAGTTGGTATGCTGGCGTCTTCGCAGGGCTGGGCACTCGTTCGCGTGCACTTAACAGGACATGACGAACGCGTTTGCCAGCAAACAGTCGAGATGCACGCCGGGCCCCAGGACGTGGATCTCTGCATGCAACGTTTTCGGAATAGTGCGATTTGGCTGGATACGGTGGAAGGAGGAATGTATATCAAGACGGGGGAGGGAGGCACCATGGGCGACCCCTGCGTTGTGGAACTATTCAGAGGCACGCTTTCGAGGCCCATCCTGCAATGGCTCCGTAGGCTGAGGGACATTGATTCTTCGGCTGCTGGCCTGGTAGCCCGATGGAGGGATTTTCAAGCGGACGTGGGCGGCTGCCTGTGCGCCGACGATGTCTTCCGTGTGCACTTCGCCCCCCCCCCCCCACACACACACACTTCGGTGGGGCAATGTTTGAGGTCCTGAAGCAGGCTGATGAGGTGTTGTCGGAGGAGCTGGAGGAGATAGGATATGCACGGAACATCTCGAAGCAGGAGGTTCAGCTTTGTTTCCAAGGGCCAGGGGCTTTACAATGTAGACAGTGGGCACGGGGGAGGGGCCGAAGACTACTTTCGGGACAACTTCAAGATGATGTCCGTTACCTTGGGCCCATGCTGCAGTCGGCGACCGTCGAGGTCCGCCGACGAATTCAAGCGACTGCTGAATCGTACTATGCGCTGGGGCAGATTTGGTCTCTGGAGGTCCCGTTTCGCTGGAAGCGGACCTTGTTTCTCAGCTTCGTTCAGAACGCGGCGCTGACTGTAGAGCCAGTGCTGCTCACAACTCGACACTATCGCGAACTCGATTCGCTCTTGGCCCGATATGGGAGGAGGGCCCTTCAGGGGGCTGCTACGACGAAGGTGGGAGGAGGGATCAGATCCTGTTCGAACAAGAAAGTGATGCATCATTGGCGTCTAGCTAGTTCGGAAGGAGATGCTGGTCCGACGATTTGGCTGGTACCGTAGCTGGGCCCTGGATCCCCATAACCATGCACAGGAGATCTTTGGGGACCTGGGGCTGGATGGACGACGGGGGAGGAAAAGGAGGAGGAGGAGGAAAAGGAGGAGGAGGCGGTGGAGAAGGAGGAGGAGGAGGAAAAGGAGGAGGAGGAGGACGAGGAGGAAGAGGACGAGGGGTGGGGGGGCGGAAACGGAGGAGGAAAACGAGGAGCCGGGGAATTGTGGGGGGGCGGAGAAGAAGGAGGATGGAGAGGATGAGGAGGACGGGGAAGTCCTGCACTCTTCCGCCTCCAGGGCCGCCGCTGCTCCCAGCTGGCGGCCTGGCGCGCGGCCTTCCCACTGGCCTGTCCCGTCGTCGCCTTTTTTTTTTTCTCTCTCTCTCTCTCTCTCTCTCTCCCCCCAACGGCGACGGCGGCGTTGGCGACGGCGTGACGCTGTCGCCGCCGCCGCGGCCGACGACGACGACGTCGACGACGGCGGTGACGGCGGCGGCGGCGGGGGTCGGCGGCGGCGACGGTGTTGACTACGGCGTTGGCGACGACGACGCTGACGCTCGGGAGCCTGGGCGTGGTTAGCGGGTGGGCCAGAACCAGCGGCACGACACGCTAACGAGGAGCTCCTGGCCGCATGCCGTGTAGCACTCGGACAGCCTCAGGACGCGCCCTGACCAGTCTCAGACTTACGCAAGCAATTTCACTCTCTTGAAAATCTCAGCTCCCGACAGATTCCCTTAGCAGCACTCGTGTGGTAATGAAACCACCGATGGTCCACCGCAGCGCGCCGCGGCCAGAGGGGCGCCTCATGTATCCAAAGGAGGCGCAGAAACGAACATGAGAATATATGGCGCTGTGCGTGAGTCGGGCTTCAAGTCGCCGCGCGGGAACGCTGGCGCTCATCAGCAGATGTCGTCGGAGTCATCTCTTTCCGCCCATGAACCTTCTTATCTCACTTGTGCGCCCTCTCTGGTGGCAAAGCGCTTCTTGGGAGAGGTGGGGGGAGCGCGGCAGCGTCTGTCTGACAGATCCCAGTGCCACCAGAGCCGAGCCGAGGAGAAACGCGCGTGCCCAGAGGGGGGCGCGCGAGCCTCGGCCGGTCGGCTCCGCCGCGCGGCTCGCAGTGGGCGGAAAAGCTGATGTGGGAGCCCTTAGCGGCGCCGCAGATGGCGGCAAAACATAGAACACGAAGGGGAAAACCCGAGCTCCGATGCGCCGAAGATCAAGTCATCCAATATACTGGCGAGCTTCGGGAGGCACTGCTCGGACTGGGAGCTCGTGAGGTCCTCGAAGTACGAACCCACCTATGATGGCGAAGCACTTCCCGAGGTACCCGGAGCGTTGTCCGGAGGAGAAGAGGCTTCCGCCAACACCAGCTGCGAGCGCTTCGTGGTGTGGTTGTTGAGCTGTGTGCGATCTTCTCGCCAGTCTTCCCAACGGATGTCCAAGCCCACGAAGGTTCCAAAAACGACCTTCGTCAGACATTCCTGCCCGACGGCCTCGGTGACTCTCTCCGTGCTGTTCTTTTGGTCTCTGATCATCTGCGTGGAGACGTCGTGTATGTTCTGCATGCCAACCCACGCCCGCACGAGCCGCCGTGGCCATCAACGTCGTCATGTCGGCGGCGCTGCGCGGGCCCCGTGCCGTCCACGCAATGTCTTCAGTATGGCCACGCTATGCTGGCACTCTGCGAAGCTCTCCGCCACCTCCTGTGCCACATGCTGGGCGAGAGCTGCCAGCTGCTGAAAATGATCTTCGGCATGACGGTATCCGGTATCCAGGCCAAACCCGCAGTTGGCGCGCAACAAACATATCCGCGAGTGCGCCACGCAGACCCCGAGGTTGCAATTTTTGGAGCTCCTGCCGCACATGGCGCACAAAATATTGTCGACGGCGCTGCAGCCCGCGATGTCATCCGTAAGATCGGGCCGAAAGTGCTCAGTGGCGCCGTTTGTTTTGATGTCGCCCTCCTGCGCGTAGACCAGGGCGCCCCGCTAGAAGGGCATCAGTGGCTGGTAGCGCTGCCGCCGATCAGGTGGCTGCGAAACGCAGCCCGGTTTGTATGCGCAATCGTCGGTCGCGAACTTTACTCGCAGATCGGGCCCCTCGCCGACGGGGAGCAACAAGCACTGGTGGAAACGATTAGAGGAAGAGGCCGCCGCGACAACAGCGCATGACGAGACCCCAGCAACAGTCAGCAAGAGGTAAGCAGCCGCGAACGCGATGAGCGAAGCAGCCGCGCCGGCGGACATCATTGTTCCATCGGTCTCCGCGCGTGCGGGGATAACTGCCTCCTTGCGACAAGGAGGGCCGCTCGCGGACGCTCGGCGAAGCTGCGGGCTACCCAGCTCAAGCACACTTCAAACAACGTGGCGACGCGAACCGAAGAGGAGGAGGAGAGAGAGGAGTGGAGAAGTAGGAAGAGGATGACGAGAAAAATGGAGAGACAGAGGGGGGTGATGCTGATACTGATAATGATGCTGATGGCGATGGCGACGATGATGACGGTGATGATGGTTACGAGTATGATGACGATGGTTCGGATGCAGATGATGGTGATGATGATGATGATGATAATGACGATGATGGCAATGGTGATGCAACAAACGATGATGATCCCACTCTCTAAAGGAGCCAGAGCCGAAGCGCTCACGCCCACCACGTCTCGCCGCCGACTGCCGTGCCACCGATGCCCGCGCAACTTTCCACGCGTGTCAGCGGCAAGCTCCACTGACAGGCCCCCCTGTGCCCACGTGCGTCGCCACGCACCTAGACCTCGACAGGCAGCTCAGAAACCGTGCCCCCCGCGCGCCCGGGGGCGCGCTGCACCGGCGAGGATCAGGCACCTATACGCATCAGGCGCAGGTCCTGCGGGCCACCCGACGGGGCACGTGCCCCCGTGGACAATACCAGGAGGAGCCCGTGCTCCGCGAGCTCGCGAAACAGGGCACGCAGGGAGGCCGTGCTCCGAGCGCCCTGCTCGGGGCAAGGGGCGCATGAGGCCGCGTTTCGACGCCCAACCTACCCACCACCCAATCCACGGGTGGCCGCTGGCGGCGGGTAACCATTTTTCCTAACCCTCCTGCGTTGGGTTCTCGTTCTGGATAGAGCACTGCTCGCGCGAACCTTCCTTCCCGTCCCTCTCTCCCCCCCCGCCTTGTACCTGGCTCGTCACTGCGTTTTGTGAAATCTGCGAAACTGTGAAAGTGTCGCGATCTTTGAAATGTGAAACCAGGCTGCTGGGGGCTGCGATCTGTGAAACTGTCGCCACTTTCGAGGGCTGCTGGGGGACCCAGCACAGTGGGTACCCACGGCGGATTCAAATGGGACCTCGCCATCCCTGGGGGGCTGCGATCTGTGAAACTGTCGCCACTTTCGAGGGCTGCTGGGGGGCCCACACAGTGGGTACCCAACGGCGGACTCAAATGGGACCTCGCCATCCATGGTGGGCTGCGATATGTGAAACTGTCGCCACTTTCGAAGCCTGCTGGGGGGCCCACCACAGTGGGCACCCACGGCGGATTCAAATGGGACCTCGCCATCCCTGGTGGGCTGCGATCTGTGCAACTGTCGCCACTTTCGAAGCCTGCTGGGGGGCCCAGCACGGGCACCCACGGCGGATTCAAATGGGACCTCGCCGTCCCTGGGGGGCTGCGATCTGTGAAACTGTCGCCACTTTCGAGGGCTGCTGGAAGGCCCAGCACACTGGGCACCCACGGCGGACTCAAATGGGACCTCGCCATCCCTGGGGGGCTGCGATCTGTGAAACTGTCGCCCCTTTCGAGGCCTGCTGGGGGGCCCAGCACAGTGGGTACCCACGGCGGATTCAACTGGGACCTCGCCATCCCTGAGGGGCTGCGATCTGTGAAACTGTCGCCACTTTCTTATCTGGCTCGTCGCTGCGTTTCGGGGGCTGCTGGGGGCTGCGATATGTGAAACTGTCGTCACTTTCGAGGGCTGCTGAGGGGCCCAGCACAGTGGGTACTCACGGCGGATTCAAATGGGACCTCGCCATCCCTGGGGGGGCTGCGATCTGTGAAACTGTCGCCACTTTCGAGGCCTGCTGGGGGGCCCAGCACAGTGGGTACACACGGCGGATTCAAATTGTACCTCGCCGTCCCTGGGGGGCTGCAATCTGTGAAACTGTCGCCACTTTCGAGGCCTGCTGGGGGGCCCAGCACAGTGGGCACCACCAGGGTACTCACCGCAGACTCAAATGGGACCTCGCCATCCCTGGGGGGCTGCGATCTGTGAAACTCAGTGAAACTGTCGCCGCTTTCGAGGGCTGCTGAGGGGCACAGCACAGTGGGCTTCCCGCACGTCGTTCTCCTGCTCTTCGTTTCCGACTCCCCATGTCCTCTTCGAGCCTGTAGTTGTCGCCCCTCGTTCTTGTATGGTTCTCCTGCGCATCATGCCATTGGCGCGTGCCCCAAGTAGCTCACATATCAAACAACGGATCCTGCAATTTGATTGTCCGTGCAAGTTTCGGCCAACTCCTCGTTTCCCATGCTACAAATAGGTTGGGTACGTCACATGGTAAGTTCTCTCCCCGTTGGCCCCCTACGGGCGAACAAGGCTGACGATCGGGTTGCTACCCGACTGACTTTCTGGGAAAGGGTCCCGCTGGCACAGGTGCCTTGATGATGAGGATGGCGATGATGATGCTGATGATGATGACGATGATGACGATGGGGAGGACGAAGAGCAGAAAGAGAAGGCGAAGGAGGAGGAGGAGGAGGGAGGATGGAGGAGGAGGAGGACGAGGAGGAGAAGGACGAGGAGGAGGAGGAGCAGAGGGAACACGCCGAGGAATGAAGGAGAGGGGTAAGGAGAGAAAG